TGCAGTAGTTATGTCTGTGATTGTTGTTACTATTATAACGTTCTACAGTGTAGATTCTTTTGTTCATACCACATTTCCGCGACTTCAGGGTTTGTTGTATGGTCTTATTCTGATTATATATATCATAATATTAACGCTTACATTTTGTAACAGCATTTCGGATTGCTGAAAGTCGTATATTATTACAGCTCATCATAAGCACCGGTCTTCTGTAGTCAGTGAGGGCGACTTGTTCTCTGTGAATAGTAATACGTCACATGCTGCACTACTCATTGTAGAGTTAGTGATATAAAAAAGGAAAATATATGTGTTTAAGTGTGTTACTCGTGTTTAAGGAAGCAGTCACAGTAGCTGTGTTATATCGCAGAGTAGCCGAAACCGTTGTGAGAAGGGATTCTGGACGACGGTGTGGCATGTCTCGCCGGGCTAAAGGCTATACTATAATACCACTGAATGCGAGTGGTTAAATATTGTAACCCCAAACATATACTAAACCATGTGAATTTCTCTTAGTGCATATGCCAGGGTTTGGCCGCCGCTCGTTTTGGAGCTGCTCGGTTGTGCAGCCGTACTCCTTCTATAGCGGTCCGTCGGCAGTACTAATAGAAATTTATTCTGATATTAATATTAATTTCATAAGTATTGAATTCGCGATATTCCGGGCTGCTATCACGAACATTATTTTCAGCAGACTCTCACTCTTGTTGTAGTATGTGATACTCGGCGCTCTAGGGGTTTCTAATACTACTTCTTTAGTATTGAGGGGGGAATAGAATCCGGGGCTCCTAGATTGGTAGCGTTGCCTGTCGTAATTGGCACATGTCGTTTTCATTCGATAACTCAGATGAACTCAGGAGTTTCCTCACTAATTATTGAAATTTACATGTGACTTGGGGTTGAATTGTAGAGAATGGGTAATATTCCCCCAAAATTTTTTCATAGTTTCCATATTGTCATCACCAACACATGTAGTTGACCATGTGCATATTTTCCCCCACACACTGCGTGCTCAAATGCGGCCTAAGTCGGCGTGCATCCCTGAATAACAGCGAGATGGGTGTAGTTGTGCAGAGTGCACAACTATGGAATCTTAGCTTCGCTCGAAGCTAGTTGCTGATTTTATGAGTATGATTGTAGATTCCTTGAGTTCCCAAAGGGTTAACAACGAGTCATATTTCATTTGGATACGACTGGAAGAGGTATTCGAGAAAGTTGGTTGAATTTATTTTGGAAAATCCACGAAATATTAGCGGAGCGAAGCGCTTAGATGAGCAGTCTGAAGATAGCTGTGTAGTAGATGGTAATGTTTGATGTTTGCAGGAGGGAACTACAGAGGAAACCTTCGCGCACCTCGCAGCAGCAGTGTGTGACGAAGTAACCGTGCTTGAAATAATTCTACCACTGCAATTGTGATGCGGTATGTAAATGCGACATGTCATATCGTTGTTTCTTATGGTCTTCTATAAATCGGGTTGCGTTGGAGAAAGTATCACGGCGAAACATTCACCCACTAGAGGGACACAACACGTGAGTACATTCGAACTGATGAAGCCAATGCTTCGCTTTCGAGCACTGATTTCCATAAAACTCGATGTACACTCTAATCTCGAATGCATCGATGTCTAGGAACATGTTATAAGTCCGAAAAGCCGAAAGAATTAACGCATTTCCACAGCATTCCATAATTTCACCCGTTTTACGTGAGGTGGCGTAATACGCTGTGAAAAACGCGATATTCGAGTTGCTATGCAGTAGTCGTGGAATATGTTTTCCACTAGTAGTTTTCATATCACTAGGGTGAAACACGATTGATGTCGTGGACCACCACCCGTTGTGCCTTAGGGTTTCCACGTTATAGCTAACATGAATACCATCAACACGATTTGACTCTTGTAATGGGTACAGGTATGACTATAACTTCGAAGTACTGAATCCTACTCGTAGCGGTCTACCGTGAGCAGCGCGCATAGAGGTTCTTTATAGTATATCAATGGCCAATGATAATAACGATATGAGGGGTGATGCCCGAACGCAAAAACGATAAGTCCTTTCAGAAGGTGCATTCTCACAACAGCATAAGACCCATACACAGACTGCTATCACCGTATTGAATTCAAGATACAATGTTGAGGATACTTCTCTGTAGGAGCACCGAAGTCTAAGCACACCAACACTCCATCACTGTCTCACGTTCGACGAAGTTGTGCAACACACAGCTCAGGCTAGAGCCTCAACTGCTATAATGAAAAGAGTTCAACTGCTAATATTTTTTCTTCTCTTATTCTTGCCTCTGTTCCGTATACACTATGAGGTTTTGGGCACATCACGCCCCGGTGTGTGTTGTTTGATTATGCAAGTTTTCCCCTTGCGCACTCGAATCACCAGTGACCTTCTAAACAAGGCACAAAGAGTGCGTAATCAGAACTTCTGGTGTACTACCTATTCTTGGGTTACCTCCAGTTCAGAAGAGGTGTACTTAACTACGGAGAGGGACAAGTTTCCGTTCGAAAAGTTGATGTAGCAAATCGTCATCCATTACGATCACTGTGTAGATTGAGACAACTTCACTAACCAGTAATGTTCGGATCGTGCTGATTTCAATGATGTGCCGATGAGGCGCGTTACGGCGTTTACTATGGGGAATAACACAATCAGCAGAGTTGTTCAGAAAAGACCCTCTAGAGGCCAATTCCAATAATGAGCTATTAACAGCTGAGTCCCAGTGATAACAATTATAGGAAAATCATATGAATAAGGTCGCTTCTCCCGAGAGCACGTAACTTTCTTCATTCGGTGCCTCTTGCCACTTCATCGTTCCGTAGCTCTTTCATCAACATCTTCATCCTGCTCCTGGTCCCTATTTCCGCGTCCAGGTCCTTACTTCGCCTCACTTGTTCTCCACTGCTACCTTGTGATTCCACACTGACGCCTCGACTCAACGACACGAAATTCACGTGCTCAGCAATGACAACCCACGGGCTGTGGAAAAAAAGTAAATTTTGCAAATTTCCGGAGAACCCCTACGTTTTGTTGCTCGCGGCTTTGTCCAACATTCGCAGTTTACTGGATTCAATTTTTTCCATCTCGGCGAGATTATTCTTTTTGTTTTCCTCTATGCGGCATTGACGCTCATCGTAGAATGACCTAAAACACACAATGCTGCTATCAAGTGGCACTGTTGTAATGTGGGGAAATATGCACTTAGTCAACCAATGGTGACAATATGGAAATTCTGATGAAATCCTGAAAATATTTTCTACCCGAATTCGTAAATAAACTTATATTGTTATTGAGGAAAGCACACATATACTTCGACACCGTTGGACCTTTCAGCTGAGCTCAGGCGTTCCCGCACCACAAAATCAACTTAGTGTAGGAAATTGCAAACCGACCAAAATTTTCAAAGAATTCAAAACGTCAGAATTTCATCAGAATTTTACTATCATCGTCAACACGTTAGTCGAGCCTGCTCACTCCACCGAAGTTCTCAACAAATTAGCGACGAATACGTCTAATTTAGACATTGAACTGTCGATGTCAACTTTCACGCGTTACATCTTCCTCACCTATCATGTTGCTATTAACACTTTGATAATATGTGTACATACTTTCTATCAGATTTCCATACGCGTTTACGAATTTGCTAGGTAAAAACTGGTGAATACCAAAAGGCCACAACAATGCTGCTGTTGTTGTTGTCGACACAATACCCCACTTGATCGCCTCTTGAGCTTCCCGTCTTATCGTCTTCTTTGCCTCATCCTCCTCCTGTGCAAGCGTCATACAGTCGTCTTGTGTAAGAGTTGATGGTCTAACCTAATGCACACAACCGAGTCACTAACACATCTCTAGGCTTGCCTACAGTCCTATGCTGCTGTTCTTCTTGTTGCTTGGAGTCACTACTAGTGGAATCAACAGCCGCATGGTCTGACACGTTACTTTCCACCTACATAGTAGATCTCTGCAGTTAACATAGCGTCGTAGCCCTACTACTACTACTACTACTACTACTACTACTACTACTACTACTACTACTACTACTACTACTACTACTACTACTACTACTACTACTACTACTACTACTACTACTACTACTACTACTACTACTACTACTACTACTACTACTACTACTAGTACTACTACTACTACTACTACTACTACTACTACTAGTACTACTACTACTGCTACTACTACTACTACTACTACTACTACTACTACTACTACTACTACTACTACTACTACTACTAGTACTACTACTACTACTACTGCTACTACTACTACTACTACTACTACTACTACTACTACTACTACTACTACTACTACTACTACTACTACTACTACTACTACTACTACTACTACTACTAGTACTACTACTACTACTACTACTACTACTACTACTACTACTACTACTGCTACTACTACTACTACTACTAGTACTACTACTACTACTACTACTACTACTACTACTACTACTACTACTACTACTACTACTACTACTACTACTACTACTACTACTACTACTACTACTACTACTACTACTACTACTGCTGCTGCTACTACTACTACTACTGCTACTACTACTACTGCTACTACTACTACTACTACTACTACTACTACTGCTACTACTACTACTACTACTGCTACTACTACTACTACTACTACTACTACTACTACTACTACTACTACTACTACTACTACTGCTACTACTACTACTACTACTACTACTACTACTACTACTACTACTACTACTACTACTGCTGCTGCTACTACTACTACTGCTACTACTACTACTGCTACTACTACTACTACTACTACTACTACTACTACTACTACTACTACTACTACTACTACTACTGCTACTACTACTACTACTACTACTGCTACTACTACTACTACTACTACTACTACTACTACTACTACTACTACTACTACTGCTACTACTACTACTACTACTACTACTACTACTACTACTACTACTACTACTACTACTACTACTACTACTACTACTACTACTACTACCACTAGGTTGTCATCCACAATGGGAGGGCCGTCAGATTGCTTTAATGGTGATTCTAGTGACAGCACCGGTCCGTCGAGCTGATCCGGGACAGAGTCGCTTCCACTGGTGTCGAAGTCGATTGGAGAATCGCTTTCAGATGATAACATTTCTAATATGCCGATTCTGATTTGAGATTGATAACTTCTATACTATATTCGCCTGTATATATATCATCATATCAACGCCGTGAACTATGTATAATACTTCGCGTAAATGTAATGTCTTTATTATACTAACCTCAATATTGGGGAGTAGTGCTCGACGCCACAATGGATTTTGAATCACAGAAATATGTGATTTTCCGTGGTAGCATGAAAACAGACGTGTACGATACGATGGAATGCACACGCTGCTTGTGTGGATGGTGAACCCGTCGTGCTTCTGATGACAAGCAGACCAGAAGTCGCAGACGGAACACTGAGGGTGCAATTCGATGGCAATTTGGATGCAGTCGTCAATAGACGTCTCTAGAGCGCTCCAAGAACCGATCTTCACAAATCCAATCTTGGCAGGAGCGGCGGCCGGTTACAACTAGCAAAATCTTGCAATATCTTGCATTTCCTCAACGCTGTCTGTATTCGGCTGCTCCAGCTTGCTAGAATTTCTTTTCCCTTCTCATTGTAAAGCGTTATATAGTTTTATTGAGCAGACTATGGCAACAGCAGCAGCAGTGACCGGTTGGGGGCCGGGGTCACCCGGGCAGAACTTCTTAGGCTGTAGCATCTCAGTAAAGACGATTAATGGAGACTCTTTTCAAGGGGAACTCTTCTGGTAGGGTAGCCTACAGTGTTGGGGGGTGAGGTCTGCTCACTGAGGTCTGCTCAGCTACGACATAGCGGACTCGAACTCAATCGTGCTACGGGAACTCGTGAGTAAAGATAGATGCACGTATCATTGGATAAAGACGAGTAGTACTCGAGGGGACCTATTTTGAATCTTTGTCGGGGGACCTGAAGATATTTCTGGTTTGAAGATACTATCCGTGATATCAAAGCG